AGATTTAAATTAAATTGGCATGAGTTACTTATTTTGCTATGGCCTGAGTTAACTTATTTAAGACAGCTTTAATATTGTCAAAACTCCTTACAATCAAAAAGGTCTTATCACTACCCTTACATCGGTTCTTAAATTAAAATTTTTCATGAAAAAATAAATTATCATCAGGCAATACTCTCTCCTTCTAACTCTTTTGATGGCCTTACATTTGCTCATACCTACGCAACTAAATTCTCTTACAATCATTCAATTATTTATTTATTCATATCAAATGGCAGGCGTTTTGATGGCTATCATTAGCCCTTTAGTTGACTTCAGGCTTTACAAAGGGGAGGGGCAACATCAAAGAGAAAAAAGTCGAGAGGGGGGGGGAACAGAAGAATTTCAAAGACGAAGCTAGAAAAGGTAGGAAAAAGGTGAGGTGAGTACTGTGGTAGGGGTCGAATATGACATACAGTGGGGTGATGGTGGTTTGAAGTCAGAAGCCAACTGCCGGTTTGTAGACTTTTTTGCCGTATGAATATACGTTGCCCAGGGTGCACCACGTGGAGGTAAGTCTTCCGCACACCCCGTAATTCAACCATTAAAATTGCCTACCGAATGTAATTATAATTTCATTAACTCCACTCTCTCTCTCCTCCAATTCCTGGGAGTCAACTTTTAATCTGTAGCCTCTCTTTTTCTAATGCTCTCTGTTAAGCCTTATTACAGAAAAGTCATGCCATTAATGTTCTGCTGTTTTTACTTGTTTTAGATCTACATTTATTGACCACACATCGGGCCAACTAAAAAGGGGTGAGGATGGCTACTTAAAGCATTTGAAAATAGCAAAAAATACTCATTCATTAAGGTATTTTTTATAAAAGAAGTTATCTCGCAATGATCTTGTGAAGTGAGTACACTACTCGTATTATCCCTGAAAATACCTTAAATTGAAATATTTAAAAGTCCACGGTCACTTTTATTTTTATTTAAATATGGTAGAAAGTGTATTATTCCCTTGCTAAGAAACATAAGGCAAGTAATAAATAGTGTAATTTACTTTATAATCCGAGATAGTAGACATATACAAAACCTTCCACAAAAATAGAAGAAGTCGAGTTTAATATACGAATATTTAACATCGAAATTGATCGTCGAAATTAGATTGATAATCTATTTAAAAATCAAGTCTTTCCATTATGCCATTCATAGATGGAAGTGATTAATGCTTTTTAAAGCCTATGTGGGGTTCTTTTTTAAGATTTTGTATTCAACATAAATCCTCCTACATTAATCTTCCACGGTAATTCAAAGTTCTCTGCGTTGCATAATCAACCGCCGATTCGCCATCGTAAGAGAAATGTTAAAGGCATAACTGCATCTTGATTGCAAAACTGTTAAAGTATCAACAAATAATAGACAAATAGATTTGAGAGAATATAACAAATATAATGAATAAGACTCCGAGTGACTTTTCATAAACTTATTGTTTACATGATTGCCGGGTAGACTTATTTTGAGACCATTCGAAGTTAACTTGTCTACTAATCAGCGTTTGCTACTCATAGTGGCTTGAAATCAATAAAATTATTATTTACGCAAAAGCGCTTCAAAATTGATGACCAAAGAGATGGTTAATTTATCGGTATATATCTGAACCTATTTAGATGTTTGTAGTTTGTCACTAATAAAAACATTTGAATATTTATCTTCATACTAGTCTGGAAGAAGTAGTCGTTATAAGGTGGAAGTACTTTTACGGTGTCGAAAAAATTATTGTTAATTATTTATTTTGGGCAATGATGACCTAAATGTACATATTTTGTAGTATTTTCCAATCAGTGTTACTATTTATATTATTGGTCCTTTTGTACGTTCCACAGCCTTTCCCATTTTGTCAAAATATGTAAAAACGTGCATTGACAAAAATTAAATATTTATGTTTAAAACTTATGCGGCCCATACATTGACGATTTGATCCCTTCGCTAATATAAATTAAGGAATTATTAATGTAATACCTATGAATTTGATTGCAATAAACATTTTAATTTTAAAAGATGTTAACTGGCAAATTTCGTTGATTGTCGTATTTTGAGCTGCAATAAAGATTTAAACTTTGCGGTTCAAAAGTAACTGCACGATGTTAGAAAGCTTCATTTAACTGGATCTTACGTTTCAGGCTTCACACCATCAGACTATATTTTCCTATTTAATGCAATCTAATATCGATATTTTTCCCCAATTTCAAAATAACTTAATTATTTCTTTATTTAATGGCGCAAATTAATTGCCACAAGTTTCAACCACCCTGGAACAACTTTTCCATTATTAAGTAAGTTATTTATAAGAAATTACTAATTCGCTTAATATCATTCCCTATTTTTTTAATTTATCTGTGATTATTCCGGGAGACAGTACAAACATTCGTGGTTTGTGATGGATAAAAGTTAAATTTAAAGCAAATTATTTAGCCTAGTACTTTGAAATTTAATCACATTTCCTGCAATCTCAGTTTGACAAGTCAGACTAATCTTCATTAATTTGGGCTATTTCAGTCGTATTTATTGAAATATTTTGAATGAAGGAGCGGATTTAAGATTAATTTCATACTATTTCATGTTTTTGAAGTAAAAAAATGCAAAATGAAATCTGGTATCCGAAGATCAAAATGAGTCTAGCAACGTACTTCATTTTCTGAAAAAAAGAAATGAAGATCATTTAAAATATGCTCTGGTTCACAACTTGCATTTAATTGAAGTGAACTCAAATTTTGAGTGGAGTAATTTTTTTAATAAAATATTTAATTTTAGGAATTGCTGTCGATTTCAGATATTTTATTCTCTTCAATGACGCAAGGTCATAAATGGATACGGCGCGTATTTAGACTTTTAGGCCTTCATTCGTATGCTCGTATGTGTTCGCTTTTATATGATTCTAGTTTCTAATTTCATTATTTTAGCGGTATCTTCATATTCTGTGGGTCAATTTCATTTAATATATTTAATTAATCTTTCTGGATATGGAGACTCCTGTCTCAGAAGGATTTATTAGAACGCCAATACGATCTCCTGAGGCCAACAGAGCTCTTAAATTCTCAACATCCGATCAAAATACTTCAGATAATACAGCACAGGATACTTCTCCATCAGATGGCTGTGTTAACACCGCTTCTATTCTTCTTGAGCCCAGTGAATATTTCTTTGATGACGAGTTCGCTGTTCCTTTTGACGCGAACCTTCGGGATGAACCGTCAATGCGCCAACAAGATCTCATTGACGAAAGCGATGAGGGAATCTCTTCTTCTGGTCTTCTAGCACCTCCACATTCACGTTCTGATTCATGTCTGTTCATTCAACCCGATGCTGTCGAATGTGTTCAAAGCGGTGTTGATAATCGTAATGCTGTACGCTCTTCCTCTCGCTCTCATCATGACAATGTGTGTTGTCCTGATAGTACAAGTGCCGCTGATGTCAATCCCAGTCTCAATCGAATTCATCGTACCCTCTCAGCAGATTTCTCCTCTGTTTTGCACGATAGGAATGCTATGGATAAACTCTTTGACAACTACACTATAACATTCAGTGAACACCAACAGCTTCCCCCCAATAACGTGCCAACATCTATCACCGGAAGTTGGATGCAAACAATTTTAGAGGGTTCCTGTTGTCCACGCGTAAAAGAATTGCTCAAACAAACTGCTGAAGCTTTGGACTATCGACTCGCTTGGGGAGAAGTCCAGATGGGACTTGAGGATGGATCAGTAATGTCACCCTCAAGTCCCCAGACGAAACAAATCGGTAAAATTCAGCGGTCCACAAGCCATGGGAATATCTTCACCGCTGCTAGCTTGGCTGGTATGAGACGAGCTCTTGCAAATATAAAAGTCGCAGCTCCCAAAACATACCGTTCTGTTGGTGTGTCAACCTCTGATTGTTCTGTTGGTGAGCCATCCCTGCCTGACACAACGACTACTGCAACTGCTGGTACAACAACTTGGGCTCGAATCAGAAGCAGTCGGGAATCGTTAAACGGCAAAAAGATAGGGAATTCCGCTACTGTAATCCTAACACCACCCAAATCAAATGTCCCAGAGTCTGTTGTTACCTGGCGGGCAATTAAAGAAGCTGCTGGAAGTGAGCTAGCAACATGGGGTCAGCTGAGACGCACAGCTTCCCTTGGAAATCGCAGGATGAAAGCCACTTCTGATGTGAAGAAAAGTGCCAAACCTGCCGATATGTGTACATCTCTTATATCTCCTGGACTTGAGGCAGCTCTTAAATCTCCACTCTCGCATAAAGCCATGCATAGGTACTCGGGAACTCTTCTAGAAATATTTATGCGTGCTCGAGCTAGGGATCTGGTATCAAGTTCCTGCCCATCCACTAATGGAACTGAAACTAATGTGGAAAATGCCCCTAAAATCATTCAGAGACCGGGATTTAACCATGGAGATAATAGTTCTACTAACTTTTCTATTCAGACAAATGCTTTAATGCTCTCACTAGGCACTGAAACAGAACAGACTGGCGAGACGGTTGAAAATAACCCACATATTTTGCTGCGAACAGCTCTTCCGCCACCGAAAATGTCTCAGCCACCTCTTGTACCCCCACGAAAATCCAGTGTTGGTTCCCTCCGTCTAATGTACGTCAATCGATCTGGAGGAACGTGTTTTGCTTCTAGACTCAATTCTCATCACCCTGACAATAACCTCCTTACCATGTCTGCTGATCCTGAATCTGAGTGTATGACTCGGCTGAGGGAAGCCTCCTATCTAGCCCACTTGAAAAATCCCCGAGGTGGAATAGTCTATCCTGGATTGGGTAAACTAGCCATCCCCAAGCCCTCAAGAATTGAAAGCAATACCTTCCTATCACAAACTCTTCCAGACTTATCACTTCTCGGTAAAGCAGCTGAGCAGGAAGTGAAATCTGGGACTCCGACAACTCGCGTTCCTTCGTTGTTATCGAAGGTTCCACGCAGAGCTGCGTCTTCGTTTCCTTCGTCGAGAAATATCGCATCCGCTGGTGGTTGTCATCCCTCAAATGCGGAAATCGGTTCTTTGCGGCAAAGAATGGGGATTCATGTCGGCCATAGAGCCTCTGACGTAACTGACTCTCGTCTACTGGATTTACTATCAAGAAAATCTCAAAATGGGGTAACTTTTTTTTAATTTGATTCACAGATAATGTTGCTCGTATTTTTACAAATTAGCACACGTAAATCTATTGGATACCTTGCTTTGCTATATTTGGCTAGGTGGGATATGTTCTGTCTAGTTTTCTTCGTTCCAATAACGCCTTAGCAATTAGATTGAACTTGACTTTTGCATTTACGTATCCCAAACCTCAAGAAACGCTATACGGCTAATCGTTAGAATTTTTGAATGCAATTCCCTTTTATGTAAAAATCCATTCGTTGTTTTTTTTTGCGCTTCTTTCCAAGGTCGAGGGAGTAGATCGATCAGCATCAGATCCGGATGGGATTGATACCAACAAAAGCCCCCTTATGACTTCATCTCTAACTAAGGGTACCTCCAAAATGCCGCCATTGGATTTGAACTCTCTGGGTTGTCGAGCTCGTTCGCAGTCGAATACATGCAAGAAGAGTGTTAGTTACAATGGAAATATTCATCGATTGCCCGAGGGGTCTAATATCTGCCGATCGCCTGATCCTAAGGGTATGTAATCGTCTTCAAATAGTTTAATAGATATTACTAGAGTTTCTAACTTGTTACTGCTTTTTTTACCTTTAGTTATTCCAAAAAGCTGGGGTCTTTATGGACACGATCCACTTCCATTAGCCGTGTTTCAACCTTCCAACGAAGATACCATAAGTGATGTTTCAAGCACCACTAAGCCGTCTGACGTGGATGTACGCTATCATGGTGAGTAGTGCCATTTGCAGTGGCTACCTCTTGGCTACCTCAATGTTGCTAGTATGACTCACTAACAGCGTCAACATGTGATAATGTTTTCTCTTGTGTGCGCCTGCTTGCATGCTTGCCCTTGCATCACGCAAGTGGAATATGCATCTTTGGCGAAGTAATTAATTAATTCATGGGAGAAGGGTAAATTTTACAGTTTTTTTGCACTCTTGAAGATGGGAATATGTACTACCACAGATAGAGGTCATGGTCTTAATTAGCTGCCTGAACAGGAGCGCTTTCGTTCAGGTCATTTAGAGGAAACCAAAAATTAAGTATCTGATTTCTAACTTTTACTAGTTTTTTTTTTACGGAGGGTAGGGTAAGAGAGGAGCCTTGACTGTAGGCTTATTATTAGTGACCCTCAAACGGCGGATGGATCCTAAGTCGAGTCCCAGTGCTACAGTATTATTTATTTATATCAAATGGCAGGCGTTTTGATGGTTATCATTAGCCCTTTAGTTGACTTCAGGCTTCACAGAGGCGAAGGAACATCAAAGTGAAAAAAGGTCGAGACAGAGTGGGGGGGGGGG